CTCCAGATATGCAAACGCATGTTAATAAAAACACCATTCAAATGTCAGGTAAACCCAAATCGTTGTCCCGTAAACGTAATTAAATATGTAGCATCAACGTCAGCGATTTTTGAGAAAACAACTGGTGTAATATTGGAAAAATTGCCAGACTATATCTTGTTACTTGGTAAATTGTGCAAAATAATTTGATTAATGCCAAACAAAATGTCATCAAACGATACAATATAAATATAAAAAATAAATTGAAAACACAATTAAGGAATAAAATCACAGGTGTTGATATTTTGAGTGTTATGAAGTCAAAAGGTGCGTGGATGATTGGATAATTTATTGAAATGAAAGAAAACAATTACATCATTTCCAATATAGGGGGAGGCTAACACCTTTGTTTTTAATTACAGTCTTGATATCAACACCCAAATACTGTATTGTTGACGTAAAATAATTAATAACCAAACATTATTTTAGGCGGTACCAGAAAATGAGGAGCAGGGAGGCTATCTCGTGTTAAATGTCTTGTTAATTTAATATACTTGTTTGGTACAGGTTACGATAATCGCTGTTATGGTTATATTTGCTGCATAGAATAACTGGACATCTCTAGTTACTTTGTAGGTCAGAGAGGATACATAGCTGAAGCTGCCATATGGGGGTCATTAATCAAAATGTCTTATCAAGATGTGGTAGTGTGGTAGGCAAATTAAAGATAACCATTACATTATGTAATTCTATCTGGATTAGCCTTATAAATGATATGTACAGGTTGTTCTACGATTTGTACATAATATACAATACATACATACAAAAAAAAGGAAATCTATACAAGTAAATGATAATTCTAGTCATTTATGAGTATCTATATTTTTAGAGGGATTGCTACCCTTGAAATTCGCTGAAATGTTATGTAAATGAAGCAGGACAAAAAGATTATTCGACGAATCTTCACGTCCACGATTGCCGCACTTACTTAACATTACTGTATTCAAAACAATGTGTTTTACATTACGTCAGAATACAAATACTATGATTGGTAGGAATTATTATATCATATCATATGATATTGATTCAAATTACCAACACGTATCGCGTTCGAGCTCTCTATTTGTATTGGAATAGAAAATACCTTGATAAAAAAAAAATCGCGTATATTAACATAGTGCTTAAACCGATTTAAGAATAAAGAGTACTATAAAAGGTACAGTATAATTATGATATTCAAAATAATATGCGTGAATTACTAAAGCATGAGATATTAGTTGATTAACGTTTAGATTATTAGCCTGGCCAGGGTACTAACAAAATCAGCAAATATTAGTACGTAGCTGAGAAAATCTTAAATTCAAAACATTTTGACAACTGTCTATAAGGTGACTGATGTTGCATTTATACACATGTGTTCCGTTTGATATTCCTGCATCATTTCGAAATCATAGGATGGTTTAACTAGTCTCTAAGAAATACTTGTACTTCCAAGCTCATTCATGAATTTGGGAGTGCTCGCCTTCATTACGTAATGGCTATTGTGTTGTATGACAGTAACTTACTGACCTGGTTGACCTGTTTAGGTGTAATTAGGATAAGGTTCAATGTTGTTCTATGCTTACTCAAAGCAGTTGGTTTCAATTTATCTATGGTTGGAAAAACATTATTAAATTTTTGTGTTCGATATCCCCGACGAGGAATTCTTTCCCTTTTCTATATTTATGCGAGCTCGCGAAATAAACAAATTTTAGAATGAGATTCCACTTTGTAAATTTTTTCCAAAATCTGTAAAATGTTGCAACGTAAAATTAAAAAATAATACAATTATACATATAATCTCAATTATAAACGCCCTCCTTTTTTTTAAACATCTACAGCTAAGATGATTTTGGTATACCAAGTTACATGTATAACCAAATCACAATTCAAAAAAATGTAAATATTCCAAATTTTTTATGTTTTTTTTGTGCCAAGTTTTGGCAGGGTCGACCCATTTATGAAATGCACTTACCCAGTGTCCAATTTTTCTTATCCCCCTTTTGAAAACAAATATATGTCCCAATTGCCCCAATCATTTTTTTGAAATCCCCTTTTCAACGAGAACATCGTACGTTGAGGTTAATTGGTCCCTAAATTGTCTCCCTCAGAGATCTGGGGTACAGTATGTCCGAAAAAGGCTGGGAGCCTGTGTAAGTGAATGGAGAAGCATCACAAACAACATCGATGCCAGTGATACAGACTGCGATACTTTATTACAATTTTGCCAAAGAAACAAAAAGTGCCGAAATTCTGACCATCCCCAAAGAGAGAAGATCTACTACGCGCTACGATTTGTTCGAGGGTTGCTTCAAGTTTCTAGTTTCAGGTACCCAAAACAGGGCAACAGTCATGCCATCTATAGACGAGGTCGAATCGAACAGAGAATTGCCATCTCAAAATGCTGAATGACAAAATGACACAATCAGAGATATATGGAACGATATTCTCCCAAATGCCAGACAATAAGTCACAATGCTAAAAGTGACTATAAAACAGAACATTGATATACGACAAATATTTGAACACGTGGACGATTAGATGTGCATTAGATGTGCTACAAGATTCGCAGAACATTCTACTGACAGATGAAGCATCAAGATTGATACAAGAATGAACATTTGCGCCTGATCCAGATGAGATCACAATTATGTGACCCGAATGATGAATAAAGTTTATATAACTAAACATAATCCTGTTGATTGGTAGCAGGATGGACTTTTCTATACATATTAATGAAGAAAGTTATCAATGACTGTTAGGTTAAATAAAAACACACGTCATAACTGTGTTACTGCATGTACATGTATTTAATTACCAAGATCACGCATGAGTTACCAAATTATTGTAATAGTCATAGAATTTTAAAAATATTGTACGTCATATACTTAAGGGTAAACATATTACTTTCGTACGTCGTCAGACCAGCATTAGAAAATGTATCGTTATGAAGCTATGTAATAATTCTCAGGGGAGAATTTTCCCAGAGGAGGGGCGAGTGTTGAGAACAGTATTTCACAATGCTGACAGCCCAAGATTTATTAGGTGCATCCTGAGGTCAGTTCTGTTTATAAACATGCTCCTGATATGACTGGATCTAAATATGTAAATCAGCTTTCCTGTAATCAATTATAGCCAGGTGCATGACGAAGGTCCAACGTTTGTCTGTTCTTGCATTATCCTGACAATGACATCATTTCTATCTTTAGAACTATATGTAATAAGTAACCAATCAGAGTCAATGATGAGATGCGTTTTGTTAACGTTTCAAAGGGTATATAAGTTGTGAATGAATGTAAGATCAGGGTGAAGAAAATGATAGTGGAAAGATGGTGGGAAGATAGTGGAAAAGAATCTGAAAACTTACAATCGTCATGATGTCGGAAAATAAGTCAAGGAGCCGAGGAAAGGAAATGGAGAAAACTAGGTAAACGAGGATGCCAAATTTAACATTGGTCTGACAGAGTAAACGAAAGTGAAATGGTTTAACTTACATATTATTGTTCACATGTTCACAGTTGATTAAAGGTTACACATTAATAAAGTAATTGTATTATGTAACTTATATTCGTTATTCATATTTGCGAGTACGGTAAGACTAGACGATCTGAATATCTCTCACAGCCAAGCATTTTCATGTCACAGCCAAGCATTTCGTATTATACAGTCAAACAATTCAAACATTAAATTAATCATTAATAGGTGGCAAAAACCACGTATAACACATATGTGTCACAACTGTACAATATGCCACAACTGTACAGATGTGTCACAAATGTGCATATGTGTCACAACTGTACAATATGCCAAAACTGTACAAATGTGTCATGCTTATGTGATGCTTACATACAAATATGATAAATTAAATATTTTAACAAGCCATACATGGTCAAACAACTAAATAACAGGTTCATGTGTAATATATGCTACACCAATTTACATCAATTATTGATATGATATACCAATTTAAAGGCCACATAATTCCAGAACATTATTATTGAAATTTTACCTTATTTTGATTAAATGGCACAAAGACCTTCAAACACATTGCATTGCATGATGGTTCATGGTTTGTCTTTGTGTATGGTACAACTTCTTACTTGGCATTTTGAGAAAATCTTCCTATATTGAGACTGAGCAGTTAGCACTGTTGAATATATACCTTATGGTCATACTCATAATACATCATTTCATTCTTTGTTTTTGCACATTGCCTTTTCTTTGCTCAGAGTAAATGAAGATGAATTAATCAACAAGGAAATGATACATATCAATAACAAAAGAAAAAAATTCAACATTCTACATATATTCCAGAAAAATGTCAGGGCTTCATTTATGAAGAGTCAATGATGGACCATAGAAACTTATTGCACATAATATAATGGGATCCATGTAAGACTTAAATCTCTATTTGGATTATGGACAAAATCTATGATACATCCCTTGTATTTTTCTCTTACAAGTATTCCCTCGCAAAATGACCATGATTTCCTTTTTAAAATGGAGGGGTCGTAAGAATAATTGTATTAGACAATTACTTACATATAAATAAATAAACTTTAGTTTTCTTAATGTTTGAAAACAAAATAAATGAAATCTAGTAGCATACACAAAGAGAAAGGAAAATAACATGAATTTTTTTGACAGGGTTATTCTTGGTAATCCGGTAAGTATAGCCCTGCAGTTAATCTTTGGATATTTTGAGCCTGTATGCAACAAGTAGGATAAATCGTAAAACAATCCAGATGCCCAAATATGGTATGAAACATACACATGATACGGCCAATTATGTGAACATAGTTGTAGCAGTAATATCCCACAGTGGCTTTAATAAATAAATCATGGCTATAAAAGTAAATTTAATGACTGGTTAATTAAAAGATATATCTCATATCTTTTATTAATAGCACCATTAACAAATAGCTTTTGTAACATGACATAAATTTACTTTGATTATAATATAAATCATGACAGAAACTTTACATGCAATATTGTTTTTAAATTGAATTTTAGGATCTAAAAATAGGCAAGGAAAATTTAAATAGGTGAGGCAAAACCTAACCCAAAGATGATATTGAGTTATATTAACTATGTAATATGATTTTCAGATACAGACAAAAATACATGAAAATTTTTTTTTTGCCTAACCTGCCTCATAGGTAGCTTCACCTAAGATTGAACAGAATTAGACTTCTCTCAAATTTCACTAATAATTTGAGCAATAATTCCCATTGGCATACTGGACACTGATATTATACAATGGCATATGGTAAAAAAAAGCAATATCATATGTCTGAATATGGAAGCAGATAGGTTAAATCTAAAATAGCAAAAATCCAGATAAATGCTCCAGTCCCCTTCTACCATTAACATGTAACAGGAAAACAAAACAACATACACATTAACAAACAAACAAACAACTAAACAATAATTGTTTTGATAAAAAAGAATTCTGGACAATTTACAAAACTGCCAGAAATTCAACTGGGAAAATAAATAATTTAAATGAGAAATGCAAAATATAAAAAATTATTTGTGATACTTCCAGAAAGGGATTGATGCATTACCTTGGAGTAGAAGCTAAATAGATCTGGAGGTAAAAATAGAGCATATGTAGGCCTATATAAGGCATAGGATAAACCTATATACAGTATTCCACTAGCTGTTTCTTAGATACTGCTTACCAGTTTACATACAAGCTATTTTTATAATTTACAGGCTCCATAACATGTAACGTTAACTGTATATAATAAATTCATGGCTCTTTGCCTTCCATGTATGTATATAAAATACATATTTTTATTGAGTTTCTATGTGTGGAAAAAATGGTAACAGAAAAGCATTCTGAACATAAAAATCTATAATACCAACAAGGCATTAATTTCAAAACATGAAAGTCTTAACAATGACATGTCACATAAAACGTAAAAAGATTTGAGGAATTATTGCCCCCCCCCCTCCAAACATGTTCTTTTGTTTACTTAAAGTGGCTACTTGAGTTTTTATTTATCTCAAGGTCGAGTCAATATATCAATTACATTCTAACCACAAGGTAAAGCGGCACCAAAGGTTAGAAATGAGTAGAGGATAACTTTTTTGAAAAATTATCACAAATATTCTTTGCTTATGTATTTCTTGTTTTGTCTATTTTCTAAAAAAGTTCAGGTTCTTATCTATTTCATCATCATGCAACAATTATTTAGCATTCCCATTATCATTTCTAATAAATTCTGATATTGAATTTGTGTTCTTAATTGCTGTCACTTGATTTTCTATTTCAGGATCAAAAAAGTCAAGGACCACTTAAATGTGGTATCCATGGCACTATTGATTTTTTAATGTGAATATACCACATATGATTCTTCTGAATTAAACCTTAAAACCTTAACCATACTTGGTCCAAGGTCCAATTCTTTCCATGAGCTGGGTCAAGAACCATTCTCGAAGATGGAATTAAACATATGAATTAAACATTTGCTCTAAGAGAAATGAAAAAATGTCAGACAAAAATGCTATTTTGTTTGACATCGCATCGCTTCATTTAAACAATGTTATGTTATAATCAAAGTATTCTATTAATGGATATAATCATTATGTATGTACATTGACTAGCGCTCGTCTGAGAACTGACTAGAGATTATTTTTAACACTCACACATTCAAACAATATCACCATCTACAAAAAGTCACACTCAATAAATTGCCATTGGAGTAGAAATTTTTTCATCAAGTTGAAATCAATTGAGAAATATAGTTGTATTAGGAAATGACTAGTCATATATCATGCTGTTATTATCTAACCTAAAACAACCCTATGACCTATATCTGAGTTTTCCTACCCCTTGTTAAAACCCTATATATTAGAAGCTACTTTGTACAACAATCCACTAAATATCATTCCAATCCAAAATATACAAATATCATTTTGACAGTTACAATATACCGTACCTGACCTGCATAAAGGGTAATCAAACACTAAAATTCCATTTATAACAGGTTTTGCTCGTGTCATTAGATGTCAGCTTGACTCATCAGATGTCAGTTAATTATGTGATGATGTCAATAAAACTGTTGGCTCTATGAATTTGTTCCATGAGATCTAGGCTCTATAATTACTGTGATGTGATTAACACAAAAGTGTTGTTCTCTCTGACGAATGTTATTGTTATAAAAAATTCCCCAAGGCACTGTATAGTATTTAGTAATATCATACTTTATATGGCTGTTTAGTTCACTTCTTCTTGCGTGATAATTTAAATGATGCCATCATACCTTTCATACCCTCCCATGATGGCTGGCCCTGAAAGAAAACCATGTTTGCGTTACAATTAAAAATAAGCATTACCCTTAAAAGAGGTTTAACTACATGTACAGGACACAAATAATTCTATGATCTTGAAAATATGTAAATAAGAATAAGTCGTCTGGAAATCATGACATTACAATTTTTGCCTTTGAATATATATGAATCAATTTACATTGACACACTGGTAAAAGGCTATGAAATCTACATTTGAGATGCTTAAGATTTTATCAGCATTGTGAACTTGTCTGGTCAAAATATGCTACAATTTTTTCTTAATCTTCAACTAGAACCAAATGTATTTCCAAGTATCTTTAATTTTAACGAGTGAAATCAGGCTGTAAATTTTTCAAAAAATATATACATATATTTGACTAATTTTTATCATAATACCCCCTTGAAATGTTTAACAATTCCAACTCCTCAATTTGATCCTGCACTAAAGCCTGCCTATGAATTTTCGAGGATTGATCAAAGTTGTCATTTTTTGATTGAGAATAAATCTTATTCAAAATATTGAATGTTCGGTACATGTTATCCAATAAGGAGTTGGAATTGCCAAACTTTTTGAGGGGAGTGTAAATCTATACTTACATCAGGACCTCGTTTCTTTCTGATCTTTTTTAATTTTGTTTCTCCCTGATTCTTAGCCTTCTTTAGCTTAAACTGTACAACACCAGGGACACTATCAGGGACATATATCTGCCGAAGTTCCAGTTTTTCCTCTGGTGGGGAGCCGGTAGGGGGCAATTCTGGGGTTGACACTGTACTACTAGGTTCTTGATTAGGCCCAGGCTCCAGACCAGAGCTAGATACAAATTGCATTTTCATTTGATTTTCAGCTGAATGTTTATCAACAGAGTATTCTAAGCCACAGAGAACTGTTTTTGCGAGACCAGATTTCCCGACATAATGTTGCCCATCTGGTGGGATTAATGCAACCATTTTACGTCGCTTAATCCTCTGATTGCGTTTGCGTAAAGGATTTGCTGCCACTGATCTGGATTTCTGGGTATATAATTCCCTATATTGGCTATTTGTATGGCACGAAGGATCCATTTGTAAAGGTGGAAAAACAAAGTCATTTTCAGTTGTAGGGGTAGCATCATTTGACAGATTGTCATCATGGACAGTAGCACCTGGGTAATTTCCATATGAAGATGGCAATAGTAAAGGCGAAGATTGGTATGTTTGAGCAAAATGATCCAAGGATGGAGATTCTATCTGATATGGGGAAGACACATGATGTTGCACCTCAGGGCTCGAGGGTTCACTTTTAATGACAGGTTGTTCCAGACTTTTATTGTACTCCCTTTGGGCATTATCTAGTATTTTTGCTTTTAGACGTGCATTTACAGATGATGATAAATCCAATGGTTCTTGTTGATCTATCGAGCTAGAGACATGAGATTCTGTTTTACTGATCCAGGGGTCAGGGGTTGATAATCCAGGTTCCATTTCATGATTGAGTTCCTTCAACCCTGGTTTCGTTAATGAGAGTCTGCATAGTTGAGTCAGTTTGGTTATTCCCAGCAGTAATGATGCATCGTGTAATGCTTTTATTCTATATGGGTACACTTCACAACATCCAGTATACAAGAAATCAACTATCACATATAATATATCAAATGATACTGTACAAAGCTCGATCATTTTTCCTTTACTCAAAGTTACAGGGTCTGTGTCGCTTGATGCCATAATTTCATCTTGTTCGACAATTTGTGCTTTGAAGTAATCACTAGCACTTGCAAGTATAACACCATGCACTTTGAATTCTATTTTCTCCTGCGACACAACAGTGATATCACAAAATTCTCCATTCTTTCGCATTTCATTTAATTCTTCAAATATTCCACAATGGAACTTTTTAGAGACAAACAGGCATTTAGAACCCATATTTACTCCGGATATGGTTGATCTTATATTTCTGTATCTACCACATAACTCGACATAAGTGCGATCTTCTTTTCTTAGATTATATTCCTCTTCCAAGTATCATGTTTCACTTCCGGGTTTGGGCTGAACTTTTTTTCATACTTTATTTCATTTTTCATCCATATCGTCAAGTTCCTTATTTAATTTATACACTGGTAATGTGAACTAAGTGTTGATGAATACACGTAGGCATGTTAAAATCAATTTATTGCTTTTCATCGGTATAAATTCATGAAATATCCTAGAATTTCGCATTTTTCCCTTTTTAGGAGAAAAAAAGTTACGCTCTGACCTCAATTATGATTGGCTGACGGAGTGGGTCCCCTAGCGGCAGCTTACAGAACTAACTCATCAATATTTGTGACGTCACCAATACCTGCCTAGTTGTTAGGGAGAACCGGAACATAAACAAAACAAACTAGTTAGAAACGGGGAGTAACATCATAGCACCAGTACAACATCGTCTAGCAGAGACGCAACAGCAAATTACAGGTATGAAAAGTTACCTAATTATAACTTTAATCTTGGGCCTCATTTCTTGAAATAAAGAACATGATCAATTAGAACAATCAATGCACATTAGGCCTACACTTCTAAAGCCTAAACCCAGCCAGAATCATCATCATCATCATTTGGTACTGTAGCTGTTAGGCTTGTGTGCCTGTTGTCGCTAAGCTCTTTTTATATTTTTATATTTATCAGCTAAAAACTGATCGTGATATTTTAATCATTTGAACCACCTGGTCCAAGACACTTTAAGTTTGACAGGTGAGCTAGGTTAAGCATAGACCCCAAAGATCAGACTTGCAGACTGGTCTTCTTGTTGCAGTACTTCAAGGGTGCGCGCTGTTGTTCCGCCGTGCTATACTATGGTGTAGTGTTTTTCTGACCAGAATTTGTCGAGCCTCGTTTTGAAGGTGGTGATAGAGTCTGAACTTATGACGTTCTCTGGGAGACTATTCCAGTCACTGATTACTCTCAAGCTGAAAGTGTTGCTTCTAAGTGAAGTTTTGCAGTGTCTCTTGAATAGTTTTTTTGAATGGCCTCTCGTGGTGGAAGTGGATGACTGGAAAAATAAATCAGGGTTTAAGTTGACTAGTCCATTGAATATCTTATAAACTTCTATCATATCACCTCTTTTGCGTCTATAATGTAAAGAGTGTAATTTCAGTTCCTTCAATCTATCACTATATGCTAGGTCTTTTAGTCTATAAATTAATTTAGTTGTTCTTCTTTGTATTTTTTCAAGCTTTCTTTCATCTGTGATAAATCTAGGGTGCCATATAGAGTTTCCGTAGTCCAAAACTGGTCTAATTATAGCTTTATATAGTTTGATAATACTTTGTTCGTCTATATGTCTAAATGTCCTTTTAATCAGGCCTAGTTTGCTGTTCGCTTTGTTGGCTATTCTTGATATATGACTGTGAAATGAATGAGTTGAAAGACTGCATAAAAGTTGTCTTATCTCCACATGTGCATTTTTCAACTTTGCAAATTCATTATGAAACATAGGTGGATGGCTAAGGCTTTTATTGTTGATCACTATATGAATACCTTTCTTTTGCAGATATCTATACAAAAATAGTAAAAATGGGTCCATTACCGCAAGGACGATACAACGAGCATATCAATGCAAGCCATGGGCCTGATCCAAATCTCATGAAATTTTACTGCACACAATACTCTACAAAATACCAAGGCAACCGACTTGCAAACTTCAAACCACGACCCGGGAAACACACAGGAACAGGCTACCTCTCTAACTTCCGTCCTGGAGTGTACTACAGTTCGCGTATTGATGAACTTGATAACCCTTCAATGGGACGTATTGTTGCAGATAACTATCACACTGTGACTGAGAAGCATTTCCAGCCATACAACACACCAACAGGAACTGAACCACTACCCAACGCATGTTACCAAGTTCCAAGTGGATTTGTAAGGCAGAAACCTATCACAAATCCAACCATGCAAGAGGTATGTACATGTTTTTGATCAATTAACTTCATAATATAATTGTAAATTAAATGATGGATAAGAAAGTAATTTATCAGCCAGGTTGCTCTAACTTTCAGTTAAGTTGTGCAGGTTTTTCACAAATGGCACGAATTGATTCTTTTGTTATTGGTTTTGACTCATCAATTTCTTCAACATATAACATGTATAATGCATGTAACCACACACTGGATTTCAATATGTACATGTACTTATATTATGTCTTATCTTACTTATGTCTGATTTGTTTGCAGGTGAGACAGACATACATAGACACCAAATCAGCTTATGCCCCGAATGACATTCTTCCAAAACACCAAGCCCATTTACAGAAAATCCAATCCAAAGACCCAATAGCAGCTGAAAACTCCAGCCATGGTCCAGGATACATGACAACTGAAACGCATGTTAGGTTTAATGGAGAACCCTCCGATAGATCTGGTGTACAGAATAAGGATGTGGGACCTAAAGAGGGTTCTGGATTTACTAACGCTTACAACATTGAGCCAATTACATTCCATGCAGGTTCACCCCACAAGGGTGAGATCCCAGGCTGGGCCACTGATCGACCAACAGGACACAGCATTATGCACACCCACTTCTTGCCTACTGAGTTTTTACACGGTGCAGAACCTCTCCCAAAAATCGCTAACAGATCTGATCATAATACAGGCTTCACAAGTGGAACTGTCGCTCGTCCTGGATTCGTACATCATAACATGGCAGATGCTTATGATAAGGCTAAAGATGTCCCACAGGCAAAACAAGACCGGACAGCAAAGCAGGATCCAGCCGAGTTCATCAACATGCATAATCCAAACAACTACTCCAGTATAGCGAAGGCAACATTCGGTGGTCAACAAAGACCAGGAAAGTCTGAATCAGATCGTCTTGGGCGTACAGGAGTAGGTGCTCAGGAGGTTACAGGCTACGTGGAGAACAATGATAGATTTGTACAAACCTCAGACAACCCCAATAGATTCATCACACATTATAACACAAAGTAAGTATTAAAAACAATAAAATCAAATTTCATATCCAAATCTATTCATAACAAAACTGAAGGGCACTTCAAATGTTTCATAATTACAGATTTAAAGTGACACTAAGCATTTTATAACCATTACACTACGACTAATTAAATATTAAATACTCAAAATGAATTCTCAGCATGGTCTAATCAATACATTTTATAATTCCAGGTACTATGACATAACTCCAAAAGGCAAAGATCGCGAAGGATATGTCGTGGGAGGAATCCAGCCACAGCTTCCCGATGGGTTCACCAAATCTACAAAAGTCGCCACATATGGACCTGATGTAGAAACAACAGCAACTTTACGCAGATTGCACCCATACGTTGCAAGAAGCGTCATGGCTAGAGACAAGTTTTATGACGATCATACACACGATAGTAAAGTTCATAAATCATTGCCACCCGTGATGTCATAGTACATTTAGGATATTAAATTACCTGTGATGTCATAGTATATTAAGGATATAAAATTGCTATTTAGGCTTAACTACAGTGATTTTTGTATGCATGAAAAATGAAGTGACCATGTTGCGTCAAGGTTTAGGCTAAATCAATATTGGATTACCACACTAAAAAACTGAGCATTCATTACATTCTAGAAAATACGTCTGACACTGTTATCAGACATCCGCAGTTAAGTTCTGTTTTGTGACACGCTTGATTTTTCTAGTTTCTCAAATTACAAGTTTGGTTAGAGTACAGTGTTAAGTACAATAGAGTCAGAATGCCTATGTTGGATTACATAAACAAACTGTTGTGTCATATTTCATGATTTTGTATTGTATCTAATATTACCCTTGAATAAATGGATTTTCGTAATATTCAAGGGTAAACAGTTACAATTACAAATCATTACTAGTTATATAGGGTATTGGGAATCAAGTTCAAGTCTGTTATCTTAGGTTTTGTCATTCATGGATTTTTCTTTTATATAAAGATCCTGAGTGTCATTTCGAGAAAACTAAGATTCCAGTTCCAACTAAATTCAGCCCCAAATGCTCTAATTCATTTCACCATGTTCACCAGATAAAGGCAGATATATGTATTGATTGTAAACAATCATGTCAAAGTGCAATATTGTCATATGATTATATAACTGTAAATATTAGAAATGCCATCATTCTTCATAATATTGGACAATTGTTCAAACAGGTAGTGCATAAGTGCATGTTTTGGCCATCATTTATCATGTTTATTGAATGGACTTTTTTATAGTTTTTATATGAGTGTAAATATGTACATAAATAATGCAAAAATATATATTTAAAGTGAACAAATATAAAGCATTGTGTTACATTGATGAACTTTTATTCTGAGAACAAGTAGATGTATTACATACAAATAACCTGATGAAACACTTAAGAATAGAACAATACCAGCAAACATGACAAGGTTAATGTACAAATAATGGAGAGATTTAACTTGTACAGAAACAATAACCACAGGGATTACTGTATCACTTTCAATTGTATTTTCCAGAGACCTCATTTCAACTTATACCTTATACTCAATCGAATAAATATTATGAACTGGAGAACTATTCCCTAGAAGACTGTAATTTCTTATGTCCCTGAGTCGGGGGTACAAGTTCTCTTAAAATGTGAAGCCTAATTTCCCTTAACAAGGCGTTAACATGCAAAATGTCACCCCCGCCATTTGTTCAGACCCCAACTCCGACCGACAAACACCAACTGCCAAACACTATCAACAAAAAAGTTACTATAAGACTACAACAATACATGTATGTCACACTTGTGGTGGTGACATAAAAACTATATAGTAATTTGAAAATTTTAGATGATGTGCTCGGCCTACATTACAAACATGCAAAGCAATAAACTTCAATTGTAGTCAAAATAACTAGAACTGATGAAAGTGGATAATTTAAGTTTTACTCCAGTATTCCAAGTTCCTGGCAGTCCATCCTGGGCAGTCCATGTACTTGTATGGTGCTATATTCAGCACATGTTATAATAGTTCCAATCTTCTAAGCACCTGTATTGGTATGTTATGCAAAAAAGCCCTGCCACTGTGATATATTATTCCTCAAAGGTCCTTTCATTTTAAAGTTCCAATCATGTTCCACTCTGAGGCATAGAAAGGCCCCACCACTGTGATGTATTATTCCTCAAAGATCCTTTCATTTTAAAGTTCCAATCATGTTCCACTCTGAGGCATAGAAAGGCCCCACCACTGCGACGTATTATTCCTCAAAGATCCTTTCATTTTAAAGTTCCAATCATGTTCCACTCTGAGGCATAGAAAGGCCCCACCACTGTGATGTATTATTCCTCAAAGATCCTTTCATTTTAAAGTTCCAATCATGTTCCACTCTGAGGCATAGAAAGGCCCCACCACTGTGATGTATTATTCCTCAAAGATCCTTTCATTTTAAAAGTACATGTACCACTCATGTTTCACTCTGAGGCATAGAAAGGCCCCGCCACTGCGACGTATTATTCCTCAAAGGTCCTTTCATTTTAAAAGTACATGTACCACTCATGTTTCACTCTGAGGCATAGAAAGGCCCCGCCACTGCGACGTATTATTCCTCAAAGGTTCCTCCCTTCCTGAGAGTATCAATCCTGGCCAGCACTTCTCCATACACCTCATTCATCTGAAGTCACATATAAAAATGTTTTTCCATAATGCAAAAATTTGAAATTTCAAGAAGACAAAAAACTGTAATACTAGGCCATCAATAAAAAAAGTGCACTTCTACAATAGTACAATAACATCATTTCTAAGGGCAATATAGTGAAATATTGGACCAAGGGCCAAAGGCCCAAGTTCCAATATTTCACTATATTGCTCGCAGAAATGACGTTATTAGTATTATTACCACCGTTAACGACCAGGGCTGAAATAGCAAGAAAATCTTACGCACTAAACGATATCTAATTTTCCAGGTAAAAATTGCCGGTCCAGAATATATTCTAGACTGGTCCATATGGACCACCACTATGACGTCACACATTTCTCAGGTCGATATAGTAAAATGAACGCCTTCTAAACTAGCACTAAAACCCCTAGAACTGGCCCGGCAAGGTGGTAATAATTCCATTTGAATTCAATTTAATTTACTTCAAAATGAATAAAGGTGGCAGCATCTGATAATGAAATTCAATGCAAAATTTTTAACATTTCATATTATGGAATAGTCAACTGAATGGACAGACAACATCCTTATAACAACTTATCACTATAGCAACAGCATAAAAGGTCCTACCTGAGATTCATAGTTACCACGGAGAGATGAAAGTTGGTTGAGGAGTCGCATACTCAACTCACACCACTTCTTAGCTTCCATATAGTTACTGGCACTGAAATTATAAAATTTTAAAACATTGTATCATAATATATCATGGAAACATAAGGAAAATTAGGGATCCTGAGAGCAGGTTCAAGATAGTCACTGCATTTTATTTTTCCATTTCAATTGACATACAGTAGTTTAAGAAAAACCCTTTTAGTTTTAGAAATGAAAAATGTTTATTGAATTGTTGCAAAATAAAACTTCTCTCGTCAATTCATATTACAGTCATGACTCTTTGATTGAAGGAAGTTGACACTGCACCCATTTTAGATTTTGAAAACAAGTAAAACCGGACTTGAAAATTGATTTCAACATGCTTGATTAGAAAAATCATGAAAATGCCATATTTTGACCGTTTTTGATAAAATTATGAAAACAAGAATCTTGCACCTGTTTGAGAATACTGTAGCCCCCATTAAAAAGACAAATACCCCACACATGCCACATAATGCTCTCATATAAAGTTGCGCCTAAGTACAAGATCATACCTGTACAGGTGTATCCCACAGTTCCAGGCTTTCGTCATCAGCCAAAGTGTCTCCATCTCAGGGAAATTATCCTGAAAATATATAGATGATGTATAGATTTTATTATTGGCAGCAGTTCAAACCAATTCTCTAAAAACATACATGTACCTGCCCGAGGGGGGGGGGTTCTGCACAATTCTTTGCATTTTGGTTCTAAAATTCGCATATTTGCAGATTATTAATGTAAACACTCAGAAAATGGAACCCATTATTTGAAAAATGGATATCAATTTTCAGAATCCGGCTTCTGATCTTTAAAATGGTCTAAAAGGGAAATAGTTTTCTAGTTCCCCTATGGAGATTCCCAGATCCCCCTGACCTCTTTACACTATGCCCTGCTTACTTTTAACAACATGATCTCCATCAAATGACACTTTTAGGTAGATAAAAACAATTTGATCCTGTGAAATACATGAAACAAAGAATAATTCAACTAACAACACAACAAAACAAGGCATTAACAAGAGAAAGTGTCACTGGAAATGTCCATAATTACAAAAGTGTAACAATTTATCACAGACATCACCCAGGAAAATAAGAGTTAAAACACAGAACAACTGTGTGAATATTTTCATAACTCATGACTAAAGAACCTTTGCTCTAGTTTCCAAGAGATTCACTATCTCAGTATAGTAGGTCCAAGTTTCCTCTTTGCTAGTGTCACATTGGAGGGAGAGGGACACTAAACTATGGAAGTTCTTGCTAAAAAATGTTATAAGATTACCATTATAGAGTCTCATACTAGTATTGCTCACATAGAGAAAAGACATGTGACATTGCTATTTCAAAGATGTACATTATAAATTGTATTGTCTTGAACTCAGAAATGAACATTTTGACTTATTATACAAGTTATGTTGGTATTATATTCATGATCACGATGATGCATATACATTTTAATCATAATAAAATTGCACAAGTATACTGCATACCTGCATTTTGCAAAGTCTGGGTTTTCCATCTGTAAATGTTTCTTGATTGCCACCTTCAGAGCTCTAATGCTGATGCTGCGGTTCTCTGCTGGCGGTTCTAGAGCAAGTGCTAAAAACAACGAATTGAAGTTGTACAATGTTCAGCAAGGTACTATCATTACACAATGTCAAAACCTGTAAATCATTACCAAAGTGTAACATTTGTTACAGATACTGAAACCAGATGTCAACTAATGATGCCAAACTCCAAATGTCAGTTACGAAAAATGAAGCCATTAAACGCTTGGTGATGGCGCAAAAAGGTCAATGCACCATATAAGCCAATCTCTGATTCATTCTTTCTTGTTTTTTCAGTTCCTGTATAAATGCTTTGATCCTGTCAGTATTCAAACTCACAACAAACCAGTTTTATAACAATTCTACAGTTCAAGTATCCTTTATCTAGCATGATCCGGCTCATTTTTAATCAAATCATTTGAGTAATCATGAAATAAGGACACTACCTGCTATGCTCTCAAATGTCTTAGGTTCAGAGTTAGGCATGGCTAGGGCATTCTCCAAGACTTGTTCCAGTGTTGGATCTCCAAGCTTTGCCTTGGCTTCAAACTCATATAGCACCAATAGTATTGGTGTTGTGTCTTTGCTTCTTTCTGGAATTATAATAATTTATCAACATGAACACTGGCATGGCCCAAAACATCTTGGAGATCTAACTGGACATGACTCTTGAATATTAGGATTATTAACATCATAGTAGTTTTGAATATTCATATTTCAAGATTTTGAAAAACATAAAATAGAAAGGCAAAGAACTTGGCATTAACTAAAACGATAATGTGCCGCTAACTGTTTCATATGTGTATGTGTTATCTTAATTTCCTCCATATTGAAGATTAAAAACATTTCAAATTTACAATTCCTCAAATAAAATCGAACATTTAATAAACATATTCAAATTTTTACACTACTTCAGGCTCATCAACACCCATGTATAACATTAAACTACACATATTTAGTATTATTTACATGTACAGTTACACTGTATAATCCACTGGGCCTGGCCAAAAGTGTTCAGATTAGTAGCCTAGGAGTTCACACTTCAAGGTTTCTTAAATATGAGAATCAATGGCAGAAAATAAATTTAGGACTGAGAAAAAGTATTCACATTGATACATACAGGTTTCACTCTATTTTTCATGACTATTGTTGAATTAGTATCTATTCACTTATTCTGAAACACTGAGATGTGAACACCTGCTAATCCAAACACTTTTTGACTGTCCCAGTGGTGTTCAGATTAAACAGGGTTTACTATATTTTGTTCTTGAGATATCACTCTATAACTACACAAACTGAACATACCTGTCTCATTGAGCTTGCCTTCATTTATCCTTGCACAGATCTGTCTGCACTGGCTAATAAACTCTAACACCCGGTGAAGGCTTGATCTCTAAAAACATTCATAAGTTTGCATCAACAGCCTCTCTCATTATAGATTGCAATTATTATTGATTAAAATATTGCCCTTTACCAATCCTAAAAAAAATCAATGATATGGGATCACCATGCAAAATAGTTCAATGAGGTATTCTTTTGCAACAAACCACTGATAGGTGGGTCAACTTTTGGTGCCTGGAATAGGATTTGACAGATAGGTGGGTCAACTTTTGGTGCCTGGAATAGGATTTGACAGATAGGTGGGTCAACTTTTGGTGCCTGGAATAGGATTTGACAGATAGGTGGGTCAACTTTCGGTGCCTGGAATAGGATTTGATAGATAAGTGGGTCAACTTTTGGTGCCTGGAATAGGATTTGACAGATAGGTGGCTCAACTTTTGGTGCCTGGAATAGGATTTGACAGATAAGTGGGTCAACTTTTGGTGCCTGGAATAGGATTTGACAGATAAGTGGGTCAACTTTTGGTGCCTGGAATAGGATTTGACAGATAGGTGGGTCAACTTTCGGTGCCTGGAATAGGATTTGATAGATAAGTGGGTCAACATTTGGTGCCTGGAATAGGATTTGACAGATAGGTGGGTCAACTTTTGGTGCCTGGAATAGGATTTGACAGATAAGTGGGTCAACTTTTGGTGCCTGGAATAGGATTTGACAGATAGGTGGGTCAACTTTCTGCGCCTGGAATAGAATTTGATAGACAGGTATAATAGCTTTCTGTGCCTGGAATAGAATTTTACAGATGTAGTAGGTGGGACAACTTTCTGTGCCTGGAATAGAATTTTACAGATGTAGTAGGTGGGTCAACTTTCTGTGCCTGGCACAGGATTTGAGAGATAGGTGGGACAACTTTTTTATGCTTGGTATAGAATTTGACAGACAGGTGTACCTTCCAAAAATGAACCCCTCATTAGCAACCTCCAACAAACATAATAGTAGAATTTGACTATATTTGCTATACATGTATATAATGGTATAGGTGGAAATTTTACTAAAATGAAGACATTAACAATAGACTGCAATTGAAAACAATATGGGTGTATATATTTATGATTACAAATACTCAACATACAGTCAATATAAAAATATACATAGAGGTTATTTAATGGGAGGGATAGAACATGAATTTTATTCTGAGGGAAAATAAGATATTGGCCAAGGAAAACATCATATTGACCGAGGACGATAGCCCGAGTGTCAATATGATATTTTCCGAGGCCAATATCATATTTTCTCAATGAAAAAATTCATATTCCATCACAACCATCAATAACCTATTTAATCATTTTCTAAAACTTATTTATTTCTATTTTTGTATGTCATCACCCAATGATTGTGACATAAAATGTTATAATTTATCATATAATATTTTCAGAAATTAGAAATTACTAGGAATAGTTCTGATACGGGATCTGATATGGGATTTTTGCTGATACGGGATCCAATTTGGGATTTTGGCTGATACGAGATCTGATACGGGATTTTTTTAATATCAATTTTATTCCCTGTTATTTTCCCAGGGAAAACATGTTATTATGGAATACCATATCATATTTGATACCCTTTCAGATTTCAGATTGCTATTTTGCTTTTTTAAAAGAGGGCTTCATCTACAATGTCCGCCAACAGACAAAATTACATTGAGTGGTTTTAAAAAGCGTTCATCAATTATGAATTCAATTTGATTATTATAATTTAATTTCATTCAGATGAACGTAGGATGAATGAATCAATCTTGTTTTATCTACGCTTATGAGAACTTTTTGTATACAGTGTTATATCTGCAACGTTATCGGACAGAAATTATCATTCTGGTGGTAAAACAATTAGCAACAGACACTAATATGGGATTAATTCACTTAAGTGATTAATTCTTACACAATATACTTGTATTATTGATGAAATCTATCGTACTCTCCATTGAATTATTCACTGGGTTACAATTAGAAAATAATAGTTCAGATACTGCTTATAGTGGAGAAGTGGATTAAAAGCTTACATTAGGATTACAGATTCAGATTTAGATTTTAGGATTACGTGTATTCTGCAAAACTACTGCATATATCTTCTTTAAATTCAATGCTGATATAGTGTGGTAGGCCAACATTTGAATGTGACTGTTCATAGACCAAATATAGGTTGGAAGTAACAATTTACCGGTAGATAATGCACTGATGGAAAATATCATCATTTGAATGTGACTGTCCATTTATATAGGATAAGTGCAAACATTGGTTGGAAATAATTTGCTGCCAGGTAATGATGGAAAATATCACATTTAACTCCAGGTTAGACATAGGCCTATATTCCAACAATGAAAATATCACAAATAGAAGTTTCAGTTCCAAAAATATTTCACAATCACAAAATACAACATGCTTTGAAGATTCTTTTGAAGAACAACTTATGACATTTATACTTCTGACAGTGTTATCTAATGTTGTCATTGGTCTTGGACTAATAGGAAACATATTGTCATTCTTGGTGCTTTCAAAGGAGAAAGCTTCAGACACAAGTAGAGTATTTCTTCTAAAGGTGTTAACCATAACAGACTCAATATTTCTTCTTGCGATGATTCCCTTTCTGCTCTTCTATAGCCATGCATATGGAGGACTTAACTTTGAGACTCACACTTATCTATTCGATACAGTTTTAGATGTAGTACTACTGCCAATTGTGTCGACAGCATCTACCCTTACTACATGGATGGTTGTTTTAGTGACCACTGACAGATATACATATTGTGAAGCCATTTCGTGCGAAGACATTGCTAACTGTCAAAAGAATGAAATGGACTGTTGGATGCCTAGTAGTTGGTGCATTTCTCTATAATATACCAAGATACTTTGAATATCTTGATGATATTGAAATAGTTATGAATTCCAGCTATCGACTGATCTATGAAATGACTTTAAATGCAATCTTTCGGTACTTTGGACCCGTTTTAACAGTTTTCATCCTGAACCTGAGACTGGTTCAGTCGATAGGAAAATCTCAATCAAAACATAAAGAACTGACATGCAAAGAAGTTGAAGAGAGAAATCATGCCATTGTTATGATTGCCATTGTGTTTGTTTTTATAATATGTTCAGTGTCCAATGTGATAACTGCAGTCACAAGAATGTTGCAAATATACAATGTTATTTCAATTGCTTGTTACCATAGCAATAGGATGATAAATGTTTCCACATTTTTTCTCATATGCAATTCATCATTTAATTTTGTGATATATTTAATGATTGGTAAATCGTTTCGGAAGAAGTTCAAACAAATGATTATGAGAAAAATAATTCACCAATAGTCCAAAGTGAAGAAAAACAATTTCATTTCAATACACAGTGACATTTTCATTAAAACACAGTCTGTTTTGTTCTGCTAAATATTTAATCAACTCCCTTTAATTTGCTCCTCTGATAATTTCACCCTACTTGCCTTTAATTGTAATAACTAGAACAAGGCATTGACATGACAAAGTGTCACCACCTAGTTGCTCATAATATTATAAGTTCAATCTTAAGTCAGATTTGAATTTCAAAAAACTTTTGATTTTGAAAAGAAAATTAGTCGATTTGAGGCAAGTTGAAAAAAGACCTCTTTTGACCCTGAGAAGGTCATTGAAGGTAAAATCTCAAATCTAAAGTCAGATTTGAACTTCTAAGAACTTGTAGATGATTTAGGAAAAATTGATCATTTTGATGCAATTTGAAAAAAAAACTTTTTGAACTTGAGAAGGTCATTGAAGACAAAATATTGTTTTGACCTTGAGAATATCATTGAAGGTCAAATCTATAGTCAGATTTGAACTTTTGAAAACTTCTAGATGATTTTGAAAAAAGAAATTGGTCAATTTGAAACAAGTTGAAAAAACACAACTTTTTGACCTTGAGAAGGTCACTGAAGGTCAAATATTTTTTTGACGTTGAGAATGTCACTGAAGGTCAAATTTATAGTCAGATTTGAACTTTTGAGAATTTCTAGATGATTTTGAAAAAAATGGTCAATCTGAAGTTGAAAAAAGACCTTTTTGACATTTTTTTTACCTTGAGAAGGTCAATGAAGGTCAATTCTCAAATCTTAAGCCAGATTTGAACTTCTGATAACTTGTAGATGATTTTAAGTTATTGGAAGTTTTAAGAAATTTGATTGTCAACCACCAACTGCCATCCATCGATCACCAACCAAGAGACCATAATACGAGTAATATGTCACCACATTTTGGTTTTGTTGGTGACATGAAAATGGCAATTAACAGAGAAGAAAATCTTCATGCCTTAAAACATCTTGAGCAACTTCCTAATTTTCATAAGTGGGCAAACTCCCATGTCTTCACGAATTATGGGCAATTTCCCATGTCTTCACATATTATGGGTGTGAAATTTCCCATTTCTTCAAAATTCATAGGTGATTACCTCAGATTGAATATCTCATGCTACATGTTGTTGAAAATAAAACGTTAATTCAATAAGCATTTAGTACAGAGGTGATGATTAAATAGGTCATTTTAAAAATTTTCTTACATTTCTGATATGTGACTTCTACAGTATAGTAAAAATAATTGCCTTACATTTATTTGATTCACTTGTCCAACCAATTTTGATGTATGGTTCAGAAACATATCAAGTCACTTGAAACTATTCACCTGTCCTTTTTAAAAAGCATTCTTGGTGTGAAAACATCAACTGCAACCCTAGCAGTCTATGGAGAGCTGGGTCGTTTCCCCCTTAATTTGTGCTTTGATATTCGTCTTATTAAATATTGGATACGGCTTATACAACTTTGTCCAGATAACCTCCTTTATAAAGCATATCTATATGACTATGAAATGTACAGTTTAGGATTTAAAAATACTTGGTCAAGTAAGGTTCATAATATTTAAAAGATTGTAATCTCCAAAGCACTTGGAATGAACAAGTTGTTGAGGATGACAATGTATTAAAAAAGAACCTAACTAAAACATAGCACCAGTTTTAAGAACATACATTAAATTCAAAACAACTTTTGAAAGAGAACAATATTTAAGCCTTCAAAACAAAAATCACTGGCAATCATTTTCACAACTGAGCTAAGTTCACATAAGTTACAAATAGAACTGGGTAGAAAGATGAAAGATTATGTAACTTTTGTGGGGAAATAGAAAATGAGGTTCATTTCATGATTAAATGCCAAATACATAGAGAAAATAGAAAAATATTGTTTGACAACATCACTAGCAAAATTAATGTTGATCAACATGATCCTGAAAATACATTCATTATGTTAATTTCTTCAAAAGATAAATATGTGCAAAAGCAAGTTGGAAGTTTTATTACAAAATCATTCAAAAACTTAAACTTGCCTGGAGATTAACATTTTGGGTGCATCACACTTAAAGTATATCATAATATATGTAAATAACAAGTTTTTTGTATAAATTGTATATATTAGTGTAGTGTAGTTATGTACAATTTCATTTTGTAATGACTAATATGTCAGGTCATGACATCTAAAGAGTCAATAAAAGATATATACTATGTCATGGATCAAATAGTAATTTTGTCCATAGGAAAACATGGCTTTTACTTGAGGAATGATTAGCCTTCTCTTAACTGTTTTACCCTTTTTGCCTCAAATAAATATCTATTAAAGAATTTCTGTTTTTGCTTTTCGGGAACTATTTCATATATGTGATAGATGCATAAATTCATGATGTTTCTCAAATTCAAGTTGGTCAAAATGGGTGTTTAGGTGTGTAAAAGTCAAAAATTTCAGGTGAGTGGACCACCCACATGCTACAATGTTTGGAGTCCCCAGGATGAAGACTTTTCTTAACCCAGGGGCATCTTCATCTTAAGAGAGACTACTGGTAAGTATGCCATATATGAGTGTAGCCACACATGGGGCTAATATTTTACATATTTTCATTATTCAAGCAATTTTCAACTGAAACTATAAAACTGCCTAAACAATTTAATTTTGTCTCATCATTTTTAGATTGTGGTTACACCCCTGTTATGTATGTATATGTACATACCTTGTCTACTTCATCTGAGATGGTCTTAGATGTATGCAAGCAGGCAGCAGCAGCCATTAACATGCAGGTCTTCTGTCTCACCAGGTTTGCCATGTCACTGGGGCACAGGTTAGCAAACTAAAACATTTTCAAAATAGAAATATTTTTAAGTCATGCCCATGGTGAATGGTAGAAATGGTAAACTTTTAAGGTAGCAACCAAAGGTATTACACTTGCACTGGTTTTAAGTTCAAACTTTTGAGTAAAATTAATCTAAATCAGATTCATTTTTACTTGCTATATGATTCACCTGACATTGTTAAGCCACTTATTAACAGGCCAACATGCCCTTTAAAACTGTCCGGTGATACACCTCTACAAGTGAAACACTTCAGAGACCAATGATATAATGATTTATTTCATATGAGCCTCTGTAAGTGTAACATATCTAACTTTGAATAACCTTACCTTGTAGCACATGTTGAACATTGTATACATGTCTTTGTATGTATCATCACACTGCAGAGCAACATTCCAAGCTGGAAAAAATCAGAGAAAATGATGGGAGTGGGAGAGCAAGCCTTTTGGTTGTACATTCTGTATATAACATTTGGCTAGTGTTTTATCTTTTTAAAAAATACACATTTTGTGTTGTAACTCAGTCAAAATAGCTGAAATATGTAAAATGTAAAAATTAAACACTATGTAGAACTGTGAAAGCTTGTCACCAGAATCTAACTCTCAAAAATAAGAGGTACATGTATCAAAGTGGCGAATGCTTTTAAATTTTGAGATATTTTACGAAAAATAGATACTTTATTTAAGAGGGAGAAATTAGAGATACGAGACAAGTGTCATCTTTATATTGACCTAAAACTATATAGAATACCACCATTAATTACATGTATTAGCCCATTCTTATATTGCATAAATCAGTCTGTTCATAATGCACCATTCCTACTATGTATCTAATACGCATGGGTTCAATGCAGGACTACATATTTTCACAAACCTATTTTCATAAACCAGGTAGCCTCTTGTTGGATGTACATCGCAGGTACACTGTCATGCTGAGGAGACGTCAATGTATTGTAAGCCTTGGTAAGATAGCTCTCTAGGCAAGACAGCTCTGTACTGCAATAAGATAAAATAACATACTGATATATAGGAGGTACTTTCATGCAAGTTTATTTCCAAATAGGGTCAGCAGGTGGCACTAAACATCAAAGCACGAGATAAAAACTACATGTATCTAGCTAAAAATCATGCATGTTTCAATATTTTCTCAAAACAATATTCTCTGGGAAAAGGAATACAACAAGCCAAGTACTTTATCAGATCATACAGTACATGAGTACACACAAGAACATCATTTATATAAAAAAGTAAGAAAAGTTACTATTTACATGAAATACAAGAACACAAATGTGTACAAAATGTCCCCACCAAGTGGTGATCCCGTGAAATGGTTATCCTGAAAATGAGTAGACAAGACTTTACCAACACAATTTGAGGACGGAAAATCCAAAGTGGCCACCTTAAAGTTTACCCAGAATGCCAAAAATTTAGTCAGTTCTAGATTTTCATACTAAGAACCACCCCTGAAAATTTGAAATTGATCCGTCACACAGTTAACCAGAAAACATGTAAACAAGACTTTACAGACAAGATTTCAGGATGGAAAATCCAAAATGGCTGCCTTGACATTTACCAAGAATGTCAAAAAACTAATCTGTTTGTAGATTTTCATACTAAGAATCATCCCTGAAAATATGAAATTGATCTACCAAACGGTTCACCTGAAAACGGGTAGACAAGACTTTACAGACAAGATTTTAGGACAGAAAATCCAAAATGGCTGCCTTAACATTTACGCAGAATGCAAAAAAAGTAATCAGATGTAGAAATCATCCCTGAAAATTTGAAATTGATCTATCAAACCGTTCACCTAAAAACGCGTAGACAAGACTTTACAGGCAAGACTTTAAGACGGAAAATCCCAAATGGCTGCCTTGACATTTACCCAGAATGCAAAAAAACTAATCAGTTCTAGATTTTCATACTAAGAATCATTCCTGAAAATTTGAAATTGATCTACCAAACAGTTCACCTGAAAACGAGTAGACAAGACTTTACAGACAAGATTTTAGGACGGAAAATCCAAAATGGCTGCCTTGACATTTACCCAGAATGCCAAAAAACTAATGAGATCTAGATTTTTATACTAAGAATCATCCCTGAAAATTTGAAATTGATCCACCAAACGGTTCACCTGAAAACGCGCAGACAAGACTTCACAGACTTCACAGACAGACAAACAACCAGACAGACGGACGGACGGACGGACGGACGCGCCTAGGACGACAATATGGCCCCACACTATGTGGTGGGGACATAATAAAAGTAAAGTGTTAATGAACTTACATTTTCTTGTCATCTTCAGCTAAAAAAGTCAGTTTTAATCTAGTAAGACATCTGAGGGCGGTTAGAACTTGCTGTGCATCATTAGAACAATCGACCAAGCTCTCTAATGCTTTGATAGCAACTGGGCGGTTGTTTTTCTGGAAAATAATGTAATAATTAGTTAAGAGGTACTGTACTTGTGGGAAATATAGAGACATATATCGATGGACTACTGAGCTTAGCATAATCATTTTTTGAAAATAAGATGATTCAAATATGTTCAAACATGATGAAACATTCAAATACAGATATGCTAAAACATTCAAAAATGTAGAAGTCATTAAACATTCTTAACTTATACAAATTGACTTCATAATTACCTCAAACGCAAGCTGAGCAGCAAGACATATTAGTCCCTGTACATTATTGTCCCCTCCAGTCTGAGGACCTATTTTACTGTCCTTTACTCCATCAGTCAGATATGCACCCATCTTTTTAATAGCCTCAAGGGCTAAAACACAAATACATTTACTCTGAAAGCTGTTTTAATTCTGTATCTTTTGTTATGAGACTAAAATGGGTGATTAAATTCAACATGAAAATCTGATGTTACAAATCAAACGGTGATAATAATTTCTGACATTGGAAAACAGTATCATTAACAAAATAATATTTCATAACTGTTTGAGAATAAAGATACTATGTTTACTTAATTTTGATTGAGCCCCATCATATGAATTAAATCCACGCCATGAAACTGTTTCCTATATCCCTGATGAGATTTCAATTTGTATTAGTTTTTACCTTTGTCATCTTCCATCTGCAGAAGTGCAAGTTTGAACTTGATGTACTGGGTGTGTGGAGATTTAACATCTGAACTCTCAGCAAGCTCTACAGCTTCTTTGGCCTGAAAGAGATGTGAACCATTCATTGTATTATGATATACTACACTACAGCACACCAAACCACACTACATTACATTTCACTACACTTCATTACAGCAAGCTCTACAGCTTCTTTGGCCTGAAATAAATGTGTACTGTTCATTGTTTTAGACCATACTATACTACAGCACACCAAACCACACTTCACTACATTTCATTACAGCAAGCTCGACAGCTTCTTTGGCATGAAATAAATGTGAACTGTTCAGTATGTTAGATTATACTACACTACACTATACTACACTACACTACATTACATTACAGCAAGCTCAACAGCTTGTTTGGTCTGAAATAAATGCAAACTGTTCATTGTATTAGACTATACTATACTACAGCATACAAAACCACACTTCACTACGCTACAATGCATTTCACTACACTACATTACAGCAAGCTCAACAGCTTGTTTGGCCTGAAATAAATGTAAACTGTTCATTATATTAGACTATATTATACTACAGCACACCAAACCACTCTACACTACATTACAGCAAGCTCTACAGCTTCTTTGGCATGAAATAAATGTGAACTGTTCAGAATGTTAGATTGTACTATACTAAACTACACTACACTATACTACACTACACTACACTACATTACACTACACCATGTTACATTATTTGTTCCTAAATACTACTTAATAATAATAAAAGACAATCTATATCTATTATTTCCAATTTGGTATCTGTTATTCATATTGAGACAAATTAGACAATGTCAACTGCAATATACAGATGCAGTGTTTCAACAATAGTACCTTATCCATGTTGTCCAACTGAAGGTAACATGATGCCCTGTTGCGGTGAAGCTTAGCTGCGTTAGCATCTTGGCCTTCAATCTTTGGGAACAAATTGTATGAATAATTGTACCATTGTAGTGCCTCTATAAAGTTCTTTTTCTGCAAAGTAATTGTAAATTGTTTTTTAGTTTTGTGAAGTTTAGCTGCACTAGCTTCTTCAATGGACTGGATGTAGGAATGGCTTGTCTTTCATCCTCTACTGTAATACTAGATCATAATAATATACAGAGAAACTTGTGAAGTGGAAGTGGAACAAGATAGAATGTAGACTTGTATTGGGATTTCTGACTGAGATTGTGGATGTACTTAATTTCAGACGGCTCGAATAGTCTCTGCTGATAAATAGACAAATGTTATAAGTGGAAAACCTCCAAAGTGGAATAGTTTTAAGGGGTACCAAAGGTGTTCCACTTAGACAGGTTTTACTGTACATGTAAGTTTACCTCAAAGTTTTCCCCAGCAGTATCCCAGACAATTAGATGGAACCGCTTCTTATTTGCAACATCCAAGGCATGGCCTGTGTTGTGTTCTGCAAAAATAAATAAACTATATTAGTTAAATGGTTTGTAAGAACAAACATTATTCAACCCAGTGATCTCCCTAGCATTAGACCAACTGGTGCTTCACTCAGCTGAAAATTTGAAAATTACGAGGTTCCCTGTTTTAAATCTGTTTGCATCCTTCAACAAGGGCTATTTTGACAGAAAACAGGTGAAATTAGGCAACCCTTTGAGACAAAATCCCAGAGAGATCACTGCAACCCACAATGCACAAACTGATCTTTTGTGACTTGCTTTGCTGATCAAATTTTTTTATTAATGATTTATTTCCATAGAGAACTATATATATTACATGCAAGTGTCTGGTGCTTTGCAGATCTGCATTATAAGCCACAATAATTAATTGAAAATTAAATAGTATCAATGCTACAGGTAGCCCCAAAAAATTGAAACCCACAATTTCTTTATGATGGCGGAATAATCTTCTTGTTGATAAGTAAACCCCTGTTTCACGCATTTAACACTCTATATGCCCAAGACATAAGTGCACACAATTCTATAATGCTTGCTTCAAATTACCTGTTTTAGTCACCCTGTACATAGGTGGGGGGAGGGGTCAAGGAATTCTGCCAAAATTATCTCAAAATCATGCAGATTTAGCACAGTACAGCATAAATCTATGAGAACAAATCAATTTTATCGCAAAATTTGTAATCAATGATTTAAAAATGCTTATTAAAAAGATAAGTGGCAAGCATCAGTATCTTAAATGTTTGTTTTGTATTATTTAAACACAGCTCTGAGCAAAGTTCAATATGTGTTCTCACAAAATACATAGAACCCATGTATAAAATATCAAGTTTGCCATGTTCTAAAATTCAAAATAAAACGAAACTGAGACAGATCACAATAAATAAAGTGAACAGGTATTAAGTTCACACTTCAAATTATACACAATTAAAAAATATCAGAATTCAATTAAAATTGGAGAAAAATAATCTATTTCCTATGTTAAAATAAAGACATAAATTACATTCTCTACAAAGGTACTCTATATAGTTTAAGATATCAGTTATATGCATTTGAACAAATATATGTATTGACTATTTTAGCATTCATTTGCTAGCTGTATTCAGTTTCATTTGTAAACAGTATGACACAAAAGCAAATGCTTGTAAAAACCTACTAAAGTAAGTCGTTTTTTACAATTTTAAGTCATGGCGACCTACTGTTGTAAAATGCAGTAGTAATATAACCTTCATTCTGATTCATTCACATTTTACACAAAAACTGCTTCTATTTAGCACTACATTATAGAGCTGAAAATCGATTTTTAACATTAACAAGAACGTCATCATTAATCTTTCACTAAGCAAAGGAGAAAAGGGAAGTATTAGAGGACAAGATGGGTATAAATATGAATTGAGTTTATATAAATTACATTTTCATTAATCATGCAAATTCATTCATCTTTAATGTTCAAATAGTTAAAAATACTCAATGGAAGTTGTAAATAGGTCAAATCATTTCATGATATTAATATCATCATTGATAAAAAGAGATCTAGCCATGGTGTCCATGAAAATACTTTGCTCAATTATCACATTCAGTAAGGTGTTTGGGTTGCAGTGTTAAAACAGAAAGTAGACATAAAGCTATATTGGGATTTTTGACTGAGACATCTGTCAAGATCAGTCCTTCATTGCTTTTATAGCAGCTCATGTAATGTAATGTAATGCAATGAACTACTCTTGGGCCAGATGGACTGAGATTATATTGATGTATTTAATTTCAGATGGCGCGAATAGACTCTGCTGATAAATACACAAATGGCCTAGCGCTGCTGATGTGCAAATTTTGCCAGGATTATTACCACAATCCAAAGATCCTTGAGCCGTGTCGTCATACATTCTGCCTCAAGTGTATTCAATCGGTTATTAATCATCAAAGTTACCGTGATGTCATGGAATACAAGATATTTTGCCCTGCTTGCCGCTACACATGCACAGTGCCATTTGGTGGAGCTGCTGGGTTGCAGTCCAATCGTTTCATCAAGGCTTTGAGCGATTTTTGGACAGACCGTCTAACAGTTGAGAATTTTTCAATAAAGCATAACGATTATAAGGAAGAACTGGAGTTCAGGAAAGTTACCTTGACGAATAAAGCTAAAGATGAAGATGACTATAACTTCGACATAAAACATGATTTAACCAAAGCTGAGAAAATGGATTTTGTCTCGGAGCAGAATAAAAACTGTAAAATGCCAGGGATATGCGTTGATGATCTAGGGAACACAATTGTTGCAGAGTATAAGAACCACCGTGTAGCCCTATATGCTCCGGATGGTACATTTATCCGTTATATTTTAACCGAGGAATCAGGCTTGAAAAATCCTACTGCACTTTGTGTTGATACAAGGAAGAACTTGATTGTTGGGACAGGAGATGGTCAGCTTATTGTGGCTAAATACAGGAGTGATGCCCTACCCAGAATGCCTGGGGAAGAAGACTACTAAGTGTCAGATAGCTGGGAACTCAGACTGGAGTATTAGGATGCCTTAAAAGTAAAAAAGTTGGCTGGTTATATCAATCATAACATAAAAGGAAAATGAATGTGAGGAAAAGCAAACAGCAATCAATATATTGAGCCAGATGTACTCGTATATGAATATATATCACAATAATGCATAATGAGAACTCATGACTAGACTCAAGATGACTAAACTAAGGATAAAATAGTCCCTTGCAAAAGATTAATATCATTTGTACAGCATATATGAACAGCACAATGTCCTTGATTCTGCAACTAATCTATCCCTGCTTGTCATCATATAAACTACATGTATTGCATATATAAAATAATTAAAATGCCAAAGACATGCATGTAACAACAGTATATCAATAAATTCAATCCTTCGAGAGTGTTCAAAGTCAATAAAAGTTATACTTTAACTACTCATTTACAAAAATACCATAAATAGATTACTAAATGGTGTTTTAAGGATGGGTCTTGGCCCTGAAAGAATTTACCTTAATTCACTCCTCATTTACTATGATGTTTAGATAAGAAAAAACTGATTGAATATTGTTCAATGTTTTCTAATGGAACATTTTTACATATAAACATGATTTGATTTCAAAAAACACATCTATAAAGATTGTTATATTTTAAGATTGTGATACTTTAAAATTGTTATTTCTAAATTAAAAAAGAAGTATAAACATTGAACTGGCTGTCCTCTTATCCCTATCTTGCCCAAACTTTGGTTTGCTCTATTTATAGTGAGTGGCGTAGCGTGGGTATTTTGTGAGTGTATGCCCTGAGTGACCAAAGTTTTGTGGGGGGTTTGGGGGAAAATTTGAAAATGTATTTGGAGCATTCTGATGCATTTTAAAACACGAAATTCGAACTTATATGGCTGAGAAAATGTAAATAATTGGCAATTTCTATCCATTTTTAAAGTGTGTGGCAATTCAATCTCAAAAATCAACTTTTCTCTAAATTTTGAGAGTATGCCATGGCATTTTATGCGTATATGACGCAGTCGCTACGCCATTGATAGTCTCCAGCTACTGACACATCCACACTCTACAAGTATATGGTTTCTCAAACACTTTAAACCTATGAATAATTTTCAACTTACCCTGAATAATCTGTTCTGCCATTTGTTTTGCAGTTTCCATTCGTTGCTTAGCAATGAGAAGCTCAAGATGTGTGAGAGTGATTTTACAACGGGAAATGCTTGTCTTGAATCTGTTCTCTAATTGGTTGAGGGTGTCAAATACGATATCATCACTGAAACATGAATTTTAGTAAATCCATTAAATGCTATTTTTCAGATGATCTGCAAAACAAACAGAGCATAGTAAAACCTGTTTAAGTTGAACACATTTGGTATTGCTAAAGTGTTCTTCTTAGAAGGTGTTCCATTTTTAGACGTTCATTCATCATTAAGTCAGTCTGTCTTGGGATTCTTGAAAAGTGTTCCACTTCTAGAGGTTTACAGGGTTCACTGTGGTTATAGGATAATTACTGAAGGGTCACTACATGTTGACATTCAGGCCATAACATTAACTTTCTTCTATTAAACTACATGTACTATTAACTAATAATACGATAAAATGCCACTGCCAAAATGGTGGCTATAATAATATGTCACCATTACATACTGTACCTTGGTATTAACATGATTTCATGTTTATTTCAAAGAAATTCCCTCTAAAAGGGTCCTACCTGGCTCCCTGTGATAGCAGCTTTACTGTACTGAGTCCAAGCTCAACAGTGACATCAGGGTGTCTTATGACATCCTCAACAGCAGATATCAACCGTGACATCTCTGGTTCTCCCTGTGTCAATATTCTAACCCTTAAGTACAGACCTGCAGGGTGGCTCTGTTCCTAGAATAGAAAAAAACATCAACATCTTTACCCTGATTAGGTAGAAAACACAAGTGTCAACATCTTGACTCTGGGGAGGAAGAATAGAAAGACTACAGTGCCAATATCTTGACCCTGGGCTAGAATGGAACACTGGTGTCAATAAATTGACTCTGAGGAGTAAGAATAGAAATACCCAAGTGCCAATATGTACACTGAGGTAGAATAAAACACCAGTGTCAATAACTTGACCAAGGTATATGGCCCTGATGGTCATACACAAAGAAGAGAAAACAGAGGTAACAACAAAAAAACAAAACAAAAAAATACTCAAATTGTGTATGTAAATTAACTGATCAATCAAATATCTTAAACCTTTTGTTTTCTTATACCTGTCTGACAGAACAACAATAAGAATATTTGAAACAGATTTCTAATACCAAGTTCAATTGACTTACATGTTACCAAACCCTCTCTGTAAAGAACACCTCTCTAGTCTCTACAAGGAACAATTTTGGCCAGCATGACAAAATATGAGGAAAATCCAGGGTTGCTATTTTTACCACCCTGTACTACACTATGTACAATAAAAGAAAGGAACAAATCTTACTGCATTTGCCAATCCTACAGCATTTAGAGATTTTTGCCAGTGTTTAGTAGGATCCCACTCTATGTAAGCATTTGACAGCAAACGCAAGGTTCTAGCCTAAAAAGAAATTAAATTATAAAATGCTACATGTCCCTGGTTTTATCTTTATTATGGCCAAAGTTATGCTAATGTTAAGGCACAGAACTATTCTAAAGATTTTTTGCCACTTTTCAGATTCATAAAACCTATTCATACATGCATAACACTTTTCCCTGAAAAATGGACATTTAAAAATCCCCTGTTCAATCCTGCATTCATCCAAAACTTGTATCCAATCCCTAAGATAACTCCAAAATCCCATTGCTTCATCAAATAAATAGGTTATTAATAGTAGGAATTGAATATGACATTGACCTCAGAAAGTATCAAATTGACACTTGGGTTAGACCCCTCGTGAATATACTGGGTGGCCTAAAAGCAGATTAACAGTTACAGTTTGCAGATTCGTAAATAACTGTAAACCTACTTTGGGTCAAATAAATAGGTTATCAATATAGTAGGGACCCCTCGTGAATATACTGGGTGGCCTAAAAGCAGATTAACAGTTACAGTTTGCAGATTCGTAAATAACTGTAAACCTACTTTGGGTCAAATAAATAGGTTATCAATATAGTAGGGACCCCTCGTGAATATACTGGGTGGCCTAAAAGTAGATTAACAGTTACAGTTTACAGATTGGTAAATAACTGTGAACCTACTTTGGGTCACCCTGAATTATATATGATCGACTCTGTACACACGTAGAGTCAATTAGAAAGAAAACTCAACAAAACTCAATCGTACCTGATTTTTGGAATCACATGGTTCAGCTCCTTTGCCAATTTCAAAGCTTTCTCTTAACCATGCAACACTGTGTTCATATTTTTTGTGTTGGTACGTCTCAACGCCAAAGTTGTAGCATAACATCGATAGGAATGATGCCTAAATAACAAAAAGTTAATCTTATTAAAGTTGGGTGTCTCGTTAAATATCACTATTTTTTCACAAAACTCAGTAATTTGATAAAGGCTGGGACACAACTCTTCAGCATCCCTCAATTCATCAAACCTTCCAAACAATTGAATTTACATGATACTCAATCAAACAATAGAAATGAGCAAACCCACTGGCCAAAAATCCTTTCAAAATTATGCAGTTTTTCACTATTTTGAGCACTTTTTAACTTGACGATGGGGTAGCATATAAAACAACAGTGTCATTAATATCTGCTCTGAAATAACACTTATTTCATTTTGTGCTGAATCTGCACAAAATAACTTTACCTCTTTTGGTATGTAACATTTCTTACCTCTTTTGGTAACCTATGCAACATTTCTTTTGCCTGCATTGCTAGACCAATAGCTGTGTCATGTTGCTCTTGGTAACAGGCAGACTCTGCTTTGTAACATACAACCTAAATACACAATACATGTACAGTAATCAAAAATAAGGCATTAATGACAAAATGTCTCCACCTAGCTGGAATTAACAATTATCACAGACCTCAAATGCTGTTGAACAATGTACATGTAGGATGTAGGTAGCAATCTGTCCAAGCAAAAATAGGATTAACTTAGTCCGATTGGTAACTTTGAAAAGTACAACCTATGACATCATCAATCTCGACATATATCTTAGTTTCTTGGCTTAACCAGAAAAAGATGCAGGTTTTATTAGAAAAGTCTATTATATCCCTAGATTTATGCCTCAGTCGCATCTGATCTGTGGCAACTGTATGGCAGCCGTAGCTTCCAAAAATTGAGAGAAATATGTAGCATAAAATATGGGGATAAGCAGTACAATGTGGACTTACAACATCGATTTTGTAAAGCTACAGCTCCCGTACACCCGTCGTGGAGCAAATGTGACTGAGGCTTTAGTAGCAAAACATACCTTGAATAAATCCTTATCAATGTTCATCTTTTCCTTATCATAGGTTGCTCTGTCATTCATCTTTTCATGTTTGTCCATTACACATTTTAGCAGTTTTGTAATGCACTATAATAAATACAAAATACCATGCATTAGATAATGGTTCAATTTCAAATTTCCACTTTTCTCTCCTCAATTATTGAACAATTATACATTAATTATTGTTTTATTGAAAATTAAGTCACTTCCTTTCAAGAATCGTTGTACACCTTTTTTACATACATAAGAATGCTATAACATAACAGGATCAGTACCTCAGAGGCTGTTGTTAATGCATTGTCTGCCATCCCAGGGTTACCACTATCTTAAACATAATGTAAAATACAAATATCATCACAGCTATGTTTTGATGGCAGTTCTGTTGCAACCTCATTCATGTGTTGTCCTTTGTATTTTCTGGACTCCTAATACACAATGGTTATATATAGGTATCATAATGAATATAAAGAATGAATGGGATTGGAAAATTGCATATGACAGTTGTCTAGTATATAATTCATGAAACAAGTATAGATGTACACTGTATGTGTAAAAACATATTCGATTCGAACATGACTATATTCACGCCTTCTATAAACTGTAAACAAAGTCAACATTTCACCCGGGGTATATTCGCGAAGAATACCCCTGGTAATATGTGAAATATGTGACGTAATAACGGCAGGTTGTAGTAATGGCGGACCATAATGAATATTCGAAACAGTTTGGCGAGTTTTCATGTTCAATCGTAATAAAGACCTCAGAGCAGGGGTAATATCGTCAAATACACCCCTTAGGGCTAGGCACAAAAGTTTTCGAACCCCTCACTCCCTTTGGTCGTTCTGGGTACAGAAACCATTTGTGCCTAGCCCTACGGGGTGTATTCGACAATATAACCACTGCTCTCCGGTCTATATTTCTGAATTAGAAATACTTGAAACTCCACATATAGTTATGGAGGTTAAAATGAACTTTCTACCTAAATACTTACCTAGCCAAGCTCTTCCAGTTTTCAATGACATCTGAAACAAACACAAAAACAAATGTAAGAGAATGAAGTGTAAAAGTATTAATTCATTAGGCTATACTTCAAGATCGGTCCTTCACTGCTTTTATGCAGCTCCTGTAATAAATGTAATGCAATGAATTACTCTTGGGTCTAGGATGGGTTACTAAAGCATGGCATTTCAGGGTATTTTTGTTTTTGTTTGTGGTACTGTACATGAACATGTCTGTAAAAATCAAGTTTTGTATGTAAAGTAAAACATGCGTGGTGCCTAAAATTGGTGTTCCACTCATAGAGGTTCATTTTACATTAAGCAACATGACTTGGAAAAGTGTTACATTTACTGAACATATTTAAAACATTGCTTTATTAAAGGTAAAGAACAAAAATGCATGCTGTTTACCATGATTTGCTTCTTGAAAGTAACTTCATCTTCAACCTGGACATTACACAAGCAGACAAGATTACAGGCAATATGACGCACTGGAATATAAAAAACAATCATTGAATAAGAGAGGGACAAAACATTCTGGAAGTATCCAAAATATTTACAAAAACAAATGTAATTACATATTGCATTGTACCCACTGAGACATAATATTCATTTACTAGAATATTACTAGAATATATGTTTATTTAATGGTGTATGCGTTGAAAAATGACTTACATTTTGCATTGACATCACTTGTTAACTTGCCACCAGTTTTCCTTGCCACAACAATATTCCAGAGTGAAACACCACAGGATTCTATCTGAAAATCATCACAATAAAAAGGTATTGAAATGCAAAATGTCACCACCTGTCATTTGTTACATTTGTTACAGATGCCGAACACGCCATGCTGAATGTTGAACACAGTTCACGAAAAATAAATTTTGATGTAGGGATGGTGTCAAAATGTCATCAGTTGTAACAGAATATAGTTAATTATGATAAGGGAAGTTAATATGCTGAAAAATACACTTATATTACTTGTCATTCCACTCACCAGATTTTTTATTTAAATTCAATCCAGGAAAATCAGAAATTTTAATAAAAACTGAACCAAGGTTAAAACCAGAATCTTTTTATACAACCTGGATAATAGAGATTTTAAAAGAAATCAGACCAGAATTTCAAAAAGATTGAGAAGTATGGGGCAGGGTAGAACCATTATGATATTAACTTCATGCAAAATATTTTTTGTGTTTTTCGGTGAAACCATTTTTAGACATCTTGAGAAATGATCTGTTGACTAAAATTAAAATGTACATATTAGTTAGATTTTGTAGCCTTCAATGCCAGCTCTAGCAGCACCTAGGAAGGGGATATGAAAGAGCATTTATAATCAGCCATATTGGAACATAATAGTACTGATAACACACATCAAATAAATGGTTTTATTTCAGCTTTCACAATGTTGACATTCTGCATAAATTGACACTTTTACTAATGATGCTCATTGCACCCTTTCACTATAGTGACTACATCAAAAATCCATGTTTCATTGAGTGAATTGGTGAGCGAATTGGTGTCACGTTAAAATTCCAAACAGACTGTTTTACTTTAAAATGAACAACACCGACATTATTGGAAGAAGCAGAGATGATATCACTGAAAGTAGAATACATGTAGTATTCAACACAAGTTACTCTGCGACAATGACTGAGAAAATCACATGCTGTACAATAGGCTCTATAGGCTTCATTGGAAATGCACTAGTAGCGTATATCTTTCTCAGTTCTCCGAAACTTAGTGGAAAAATCTCAAACATGTTACTTATAAATCAGAGTCTCATAGACATGTGTTCATCATTGTTTATCATCTTAAACAAAATGTTTGATGACATGGAATGGATTACGGAGACAGGTATTTTGGCGACATTATATTGTAAAATCTGGCTGTCGCAGTATATACTTTGGAGCTTTTTTAGTGCATCAACAGCAAACCTAGTAGCACTAACAACTGAGAGATACTTAGCCCTCATGCATCCTTTACAGCATAAACGGAGAGTCAACAAACAAAAACTTAAAACTGTGATTTTGTGTGTGTGGATCGCAGGGTTTATTTTCCAACTTTATGAGATATTTTCTACTGAACTACAAAGGACATTTTGTTCATTATGGACTGAATGGCCAAGTGAAATTTTTCAGCACTGTTTTGGAATATTTATAGTAATATTGATATTCTTTATACCAATAGCTACACTAATCTTTTGTTATGGAAGACTTGCATTTAAGATTCACGATGAAATGAAGAAGACTAATCCGGGATCAGTCCAACGAGACCGAAAAATGTTACGAGCTCGCTTCAAGATTATTCGTACACTCATACTTGTATCTGTATGTTACTTTTTATGTTGGACATGGAGTCAAACCTACTTTTTTCTTTACAACATTTGGGTAGTTAAGGACTTCAATGGATTAATATACCACATTGGGGCCTATGCTGTTTTTGCAAACAGTAGTGTTAATCCCATCGTTTATGCATTCAGTCACTCAGGTTTTCAGAATGCATTGATTCAAAAATTCAAAATTGAAGGTGAACAAGCCTCAGTATCAATGACTGAAAACATTCAGCCAATTCAAAGATCCTCTTTTCGATTTCAGCTCAATGTGTTGAAAAGGGTCAAGGTTTATGATGTGCAGAGAGAATACTTGAGGCACACATCAGGGGTGATGTCAAAATCTTGTTGCACACAGTATGAGACAGTAAAAACAAAATCAGGCCATGGTTTTTGAGTTATAATCTAGCTTTCTCTAGATAATAATTTTGTATCAATTCAATGTTATTGTGATACAAAATGTACCACTTATTATACTGTATATATAGCAATAATATAGAATTGAACAAAACGTTGATGAAAATTTGAACATTGTTTCAAATTGTTATTTTCTAACAATTTCTCACATTTAAGTGTTGATTTGGAATTGCTCCACATACCTGTCTCCAATGTAACCATAGCAACCATAACTTTAATACATGTAGACTTTATGTGATGAAACTTAGACATTTCTCCATAATCTGAAGGAAATATCCATCTTAAAAAGTGAAAATCTCTTAAAATTAGAGTATCAGAAACTTTACTTCCTTGACACCCTGTACATGTACTTCACAGGGATAATATACATTTATGATAACGCGTGATAAACAATCATTATCACTAGATATCATGATGTGCTTATAAAAAGCTTTCTAAATGTTGACATTGTGCTTAATTCAGCTTCTTTTAGTGAAACTAAATGCATTTCCAATTCCATTTGATCTTTCCTTTCACGTTCAATTAGGGAAGTACTTCATCACAAAAAAGAAAAGGGGTAAATTCACTCTTGAAAAAAGTGGAAGAGTCATTTCAGAAATCAATTTGATAGTAATTAGCATATTAGTATATAAAGAAATTGATAACAAAGGATACCTAAGGGTTGAGTTGACCAAGGGTTGAGATGACTTGGGGTCGAGTTGACTAAGGGTTGAGATGACTTGGGGTTGAGTTGATTAAGGGTTGACTTGACTTGGGGTCGAGTTGACTAAGGGTTGAGTTGACTTGGGTTGACTTGGGTTGAGTTGACTTGGGGTTTAGTTGACCAGTTACCATTTTGCTTATGAGGTAGTGAGCACCCAAAATGTATTGGTTTATGAACAAATTTAATTACTTTTTTCTTATATATCTCAATGTTATAGTACTTTTGGTGTGACATGCTATATGCAGGGCGAAAACCGTCAAAATGGGTGTTTGACAATTCGAATACCAAATGGCAGTACATGACAAGTAAATATGTTTTTTAAACATACCTGAGGTTGAAGTTTTTTATGCAATGGTATGGTCAAATCTAGTGGTGGAATCTTGTCCAATACACCTAGTAGTTTATCTACAAGCTCCCCAAGTCTATCATCTTGTAGACCTTCACCAGATATCTCAGTGATAAGTGCTGCAATGATAATAGAGGTGGTATGAGTGTTGGAATAGAATAAATACATTATAGTTAGAACAACTGTCAAACACCCATTTATTGAGGTGGTATGATTGTTTATTATTATGTCATATGTACGATAACAGCCAGATGTGATATTTCATACATTATAGCGATACATGTGATATTTTCCTAACATAATTTATGAGATAGTTTCATATTACAAAATAAACATGTGACTGCATAGAAAAATATGATAATAAATAAATAAATTTAAATCTCGTGGCAAAATATATTTCTGGAAAGTAGCATTAGATAATTAATTTTTGTTGAATATCAATAAAGTTTAAACAAAACATAACAATTAAATAAACCCAGTTAATTTCTCATGAAATCATTTATGAACTCATTCTGGTATCATGATAATATCAACCTATCAATAAAAATGATATCACTCAAAATAGTCTAATATTCTGTTCTCTCATATGCCTACTTCAGTTGGGTTCATGTTTTCATATTTTTCTTGCAGATATGCCACTTCTTGAAACAGGTGTAAGGGAAAATTACTAAGGTACATGTCAACTCAAATAATCTACATACTGAGGTAATAGATTATGGTAACTTTTTGTTTCTTATCATTTCAGACTTTTAAAGTACACACTGCTGAACATGTACCATTCAGTTCCTAACCCTTGTCTGAGTACCACATTCTAAGTTCCCAGGAAGTCATTTCATATGAACTACCTACCCAGAGATGAAAATACAGCAACTAGAAAATAGCAACTCTGCGGGGTAGCAAATTCCACCAAATAAAATATATCTTATTAAATCCCTAGTCATTTTGGAGGTAGTTGAGCAGAACTGTCTCATTTTGGCAAAATCTACACCCATGATGTGATGTGACACTATTTAATAAATTCTTAATTGAGCAGATTGTTACTTCCATAAGGCATCAGCATAAAATTTGAACCAAATCCATCAACTTGTATTTGAGTATGCATAAGTTACCAAAGATTACATTTTTAACAAAAATGGCAGTTATTTTAAATTGGGTGGTCATATTGTAAATTCATTCTTGAACAGAGGTACTTTGCTACTTCACTTCTAAAAAGAGAGCTTCGTCTTCACTCTTTCAGTTTTCAATAAATCTCTGAACTCACCGAGCGAATTCGAGTTCATGGTCAAAATACGGATGACTTTCTATGTATGTAGCTTATGGAATTTGGACCAAATTCTATACTTAAGTCTAAATTTTTTTTTCATGAAAAAAGGTGGCCATTTTGAATTGAGCGATGACACCTTCAAAATTCCTTCTTCAGCAGAATCCCTATGTCCCTTAGGCATCAGCATATAGAATTTGGACCAAATCCGTCAACTGGTATTTAGTCATCATACATCACATTTTTAAATGATGACCATTTTGAAACTCATTAGGTATAAGCCTAAAGAATGAACCAAATACGAGTTGACAGAGTTATCACCCAAATACACAAACAAATGACAAGTGAATGGACAAATGTTCAGACAGATGGCTTCATTATATCCCTTCCAGACTTCGTTTGGCAATATTACAATGGGAAAATATTGAAGCTATGGAAAAATGAAGTCAACACCTGCTGAGATGTCAAAATATTATTATGTGAAAGTAGCAAAAATAAGGCAAACTAGATAAGGGCAACTCCGCGGAGTAGCAAATCCCAACGAACAAAATATCAATTACCGAATTCCAATCAATTATACTCATTACTTTGGTTAAAATTGAAAAAAAATTTAGATTTTAGAATTGCGAATTCCTGCAAAGCAGCCATTTTGAATTTTCTGAGGTACAAATCTGAAAAATAATACCATAATTGTGATCTACTTAAAGATTCCTTCAATTTGAGTATAATATAGCCATACTTTGAAGGGATCGAAAAATTATTGCGAAATCGTACATTAGACGGCCATTTTGAATTTTACGAGGCTCGAATCAGAAAAAAGCTACAATATTTGCAATCTACTCTTAATTGCCTTTCATTTGAGTATAATAAAGCTATACTTCAGAAAGATCTAGAAATTAGCGAAAATTTCTGTTTTCCTGACCCCCCATACACAACCCCTGGGGGTCAGGATGAAAAAACACGGAATATATGTGAAATAGATAGATGTTGCGAATATACTACCAAAATTTCAAACAATAATATTAATTGCTTTGGTTTAGAATGAAAAATTTATAATTTTTGCAAAAAAGTCCTATCATTTTTAAAGCGGCGGCCATCTTGAAAAAATTTTTTTTTGCGTAAAACTATTCACCAATATACATCTTTCCACCAAATATGAAGAAAATCCGTCAACTAATATTTGAGTTATCTTCCGGACGGACGGACAGACTGACTGACGGACTGACAGACTGACGGACTGACGGACGGACGGAGGGCTTCACTATATCCCTACCGAACTTTGTTCGTTGGGATAATCATTCATTTTAGAGGGATAAGGAATAGGCTGAACTTCTACCATTCAGGTCTCTGAGTGCCACATTCTAGGTTCCAAGGGAGTCCTTTTACTTGAACCAGTAATAATTTAATGTAAACTTTAATGTAGGCATGGCAATGGCCCAATCACCTATATTGGAAAAAAGCTAGTATAACTAGAAACAGCAACTCCAAGGAGTAGCAAATCCCCCTGAACAAAACATATTTTGATAATTAGTGGCAATCTTGAAAATTTCTTCTTGAAGAAATATTAGTACATTTATACAAAACTTGAACCAAATCAATCCTCTGATATTTGATTTATCAAACATTGTTTTTCAATGAAAAATGGCAGCCATTTTGAAATTAAACCACCATTTTAAAAATTCCTTCTTGAGCAGGGCTTCTTTGTCCCTAGGTAACAACACATAAAATTTGAAACATATCCATCCTCTGGTATTTGAATTATCAAAGATTACGTTTTTTATGACAATGGCAGCCATCTTGGAAAGGTCTTCTCAAAAAGAGCTACTGTTCTTGGGCATCAGCATACAAAATTTGAACCGAAATCAGTTCACTGGTATAGGAGTTATCAAAGATTACGTTCTTTATGAAAAATGGCGGCAATTTTGAAAATTCAGTGGCCATCTTAAAAATCTCTTTTTGAGCGATTCTCCTTAGTCACTTGGCATCAGCATATAAAATTTGAACCAAATCCGTCAATTACAGTAGTATTTGAGTTATCAAAGATTACAATTTTATGAAAATGGTGGCCATTTTAAATTTAGTGGCCATAATGAGAATTTTTTCTCGAGCAGAGGTCCTTCACCCATAAGGCATAAGCCTATAAAATTTTAATCAAACATGTCAACTGGTATTTGAGTTATCACCCGGACAGATGGATGAACAGTAGGATGAACGGATGGACAGACAGCTTTTCTATATCCCCCTCAAACTTCGTTCGGTGGGATAACAATAAACTATTTTACCTTATCATTATTATATAAACTCAGTATAAACAAAACAACCCATATTTGTTTGAAGGTTTTGGCAGCAATTATGCTAATGATTGCATTGTACATTTTTGTAGGTTGTGCCCTTACCTTCTCTGTTGTAAGTGATGAGGTCATAATTGAATATGATACTAACAGATATGTAACGGCTGTCACAACACTATCTCTGAATTTTGGTGAGTATACTTTATTACGTAGAAAGATATACAGGGTGGTGCAGAAACATGTATCAAATAATTCTTTTTAGTCTTGCTTCAAGACTGTAGACACCCTATCTACTTCTCTACTTCACTTACTTCTCTACTTCACCAAGTTACACATGTGGGGAGGTGTGAAGTGGGGGCTTCTCCTCATATTTCGATATATTTTCCAAATTAATTGCTCTCCATAAAGAACACTTGCCAACTCGCTATAATAAATTTGAATGATTTCATACAATTTTAAATAACTTATAAACATTATTACATTAATTGTTTATAAGTTGAAACCTAGATTAACATTATGAACATTATTTAAGTTTTACAAATCACATTTTTTCAGAGAAAATAGTAGCTATTTTACTGAAAATGGCCACCATTAGATAGTAGCCTTTAACATTTGGACCAAATTCCATTAATGGTATCAAAATATTTTCATGAAAAATGATGGACATTTTGATATTCAGCAGTCATTTGAAATCTTTTTCTTGAACAGAACTACCCAGCATGCCAAGAGACATCAGCAATTTTTTTTAGCTGAATCTGTTAACTGATATTTCAGTTATCAAAGATTACATTAAACATCTATGCCTATTCCTAAGCCAGGGATTAGAATAAAATATTCCTTCAATCTTCATTTGTCTTGATACAGTCATATGACTCAATATTTGATTTCTTAATAACAAATAACATTAGAGTGTTTGAATTGATTAAATAATGATGAACATGTATGTTAGCATTTTTGAATGAAAATATTTTTCCAGAAAATTCATCACAGTGTCAGCCAAATTTCATCAAACCTAAACACAGAGATGATGTCTGCTATATGTTTGTAACATCTAATTATTCATGGAGTGATGCAATCGTACTTTGTCAGATGAATTTTGGGGCTGGATTACTGGTGATTGATAATGAGGATGACCAACAAGCTATTATGGGGCATTTATCAGCCATCTATGGTATGTATGAATTCATGAAAATTAGTCATTCTACTCACGCATTCATATTATTGGAATTTTTTAAGGTGTGTTAAAACTGTGATATCTTTGAAATATGGAAGGTATACCAAGTTATAGTATGCAGCCTTCTCCATTGGATTTTTCTCAAGTGGGGGCAAAATTCTGATTTTTACAATTCAGACCAAAATTGTTCAAAATATGCTGATTTTTATGATTTTTCTCATCTTCAAGTAGACCATTCAAATGGATTTCCAGGTGGGTGCAAGTATGTTTTTAAATCTCAGGTGGGTGCTGCGTCCACTTGTTTTAATGTTAGGGAGATCACTGCCATGTGCCATAGTTGATTATGATTGGTATGTGTTTTCCATTGAAAATATCACTGTTCCTTAGTACTGC